GATTCTCGTCGGGCCCGTTTAGTAGCCCGGGTAAATCCTGCTTCCACCGAGTCTTCTAGAACGCTCTTTGTCGCGCTACTAGACACGTCCTCGTGCTGAGGCGTTTCCTACGCGTTTAGTGGGCCGAGTAGATTGTCACATCGGGCTAAGCTTCTCCATTTGATGGGCCTTGTGGAGGGGTATAACCCATCTCCTACAAGTTTGCTGTTTCCCTGCCTTGTCTCAAAGTTATGCATTTAAAGGAAGTATATTTTGACAAAACTCTGATCCATGGCAAATCCAGCCTTGAGACGCTTATAACTAACTGCCCGATTCTTGAAAAGTTAACCATAATCAGGGATGCCTATGACCATCTTGGAATTATGTGTGTGCGCTCTAAGTCTTTAAAAAGTTTAACTCTACGGATTGACTTATACGACTTTGGTCTCTTGGAAGATCATATTGTGGAAATAGATGCTCCAAGGCTTGAGCATATGGATCTCTGTGATCACTTATCTGGAAGCATCATCATTCACAGTATTGCTCCCTATGCATTGGTAAACATCGATGTTAACTTTGATGGGGAGGATGGTTATACATCATTTGACCTGCTTGATGGTGATGATTCTTCCAAGAGGACTATCATCCGTAATTTCCTCACCGGGATATCCACAGTCTCCCGCATGGAGATCTCTTCTGTTACTCTACAGGTACGTACGCACACTCATGATGTTGATTCAATAACAGTATACCTAATACAAAAATGTATGATTATCACTGTGACAACATCTATCATTACATTTTTAATTGTAACACAGGTCATCCATGATTACTCAAAACTGGAACCGTTACCTCAGTTTTCTAACTTGACTTGGTTATATGCTTCTTTCCCTGACTCGTTTTGGGGATTGCTGCCAACCTTTCTTTGTTGCTGCCCTAATCTACACACACTCGTATTGGTGAGTCTTATTATTCTTGTATTCAAAAGTTTTGCATATCCCATAAAACTTAACTATCTCTTTGTTTGTGCGCAAATTAATTATCAGGAGTTTGGGTTTGACTTTGATAAAGAGGAAAACCCAATCGAACTATCCGATGTGCCGCCTTGTTTCGTATCATCTCTCAAGTATGTTGAGCTAATTGTGACATCAGGCACAAAAAGAACATCAGGCCAGATGGAATTAGCTAGATATTTTCTGAGTCATTGTGCTGTCTTGAAGAAACTGAGCTTAAGCAAGAGTTTTGATGATGACATCATCAAGGAAATAAAAATGATTCAAAGAAAGTCTAGACAGTGCATTATTGTCACTGGTTGTCTGCTTGAGCCACGCAACTTATACCGTAGACAAGAATAAGATGAAGAATGAATCCAACTTATAATAATAATCGAGTGTAAGACTATTTTAGCTTCTTTGTGTGTTTGTGTGTGTCTGTTCGACCTAGATGTTATCAAAGCTTATTTGCCTTCTTTAAGAGTTTACTCTCGATCAGACGCTATAAACCTTATATCTTATGAAGTTGGGTGTTATGTGAATTTATCTTGAATCAATAAAAGATGAATGACTTATGAATTGCATATTCCAGAGAGCAAGGGGCAAGTGTCAGTAATGTTTCATTTCGGTTCTCTCTTCATACTATGTTTTGTTTAAGGACCCGTAGTAGCTAGCATATATATGTCATCAGTTCTTAAGTTATTAGTTCAATCTATATCAGTTTTTTTTTTTTCATTTTTGTCCTGATCAATCACAATTGTTAGGCCATTTTGGTTTAATAGATAGAGTCCGACATTGCTTGGAGGCAGAACCGGCTCTGGACTATGCGTAGTGAAACATTTGCAATAGACCCCCGAAAATTTTGAAAAAAAAATACATAGACATCAGCTCCCAAAAAAATATTTTAAGCCTCCAATTTTTTTTTTTTTTTTTATATAGACATTGCTACGTATCCTCAAAATCTCAAGGCTGACCTTGTTTGGAGGGACAATCTTAATGAGTATCCAGAGGTCGAACTACGCTGACATTGTGTTCATCAAAAAAGTAAACCCATGAACTGATGATGCTTTCGTGAATTTGGAACATAACTGAACAAATATGCATGAAATCATGTGAAAAATTCTCAGGAACTGTCACCATCATTACATGTTCTCATCCTAAGATTAAAGAGCCATTGTATCATCGCAACGTGTCCGTTGGGTTTCAGAGTTTAACTGTTTAAGAGTCATCGATATTTCACACAATGACTTCTCTCAGGAACTCTCCCACCTCACGGGTTCTCCAACTGGCGTGAGATGATCAAAATGAGGGAAGAAGATGATCCCTACATGGCTGATATCATTAATGATTAATTAAAGGAATAGAGACGAGCTTTGAGCGGATCCAACAAGACCTCAGAGCCATTGAGTGGACCGAAGACTGTATAGATTATTTTCCTAGTGCATAATTATGAGAGAAAAAAAATAAGCTATCACGTATGGGAAAAAGATAATAAGGATATGGAAGCCGACATTACATAATAAGGATATGGTCAACGAGGCTAAAAGTCGTAAAATGAGTAATGGCCTGGTTGGGACAAAAGGAGAGTACTTTAGTTTTTGAATAAAACTAATACTAATAATTAAGACATAAGTACATCCTAAAAAGGAATCCAGCCAGCTGCAACTCACCACCATTTTGTGTGTTTTAAGTCTCCAAAATAGGAATCCAGCTGCAATTCACCACTCCTTTTTTCACATTCACGCACACACAGACACGCTCATCTCTCTTTCTCTCGATCTTCATCGTCTATACTTTTAGGAGGCCCAATTAACATCTACCATTGTTGAGGAACCACAATTTCCTTTTTAACTTACATTATTTTAGTAACTAAATAAAATCTTTGCACACTAGTTTTTTTAATATTCAATGCGTTTATATTGAATGAAAGCAACATGATACATCATTGTATCTTTTACTATGAAGAGAGTTATTGGGTTTGATTCATTTGTTTTCTCTACGCGTAAGACCCATTTATTGTGATTACAGTAACAGATAAAACCCAAATTACCAACAAGAAAGAAACAAACAAATAAAATCATAAAAACAAACCCATTTATGAAGACCGGATTAGTTTAATTTAAAGAATTCTAGTTGACATAATTTTACAAAAACCATAAAAACAAAACCTATCACTATGTACCAAACCAACCATTTTATATTCAGAACACCTGAAACATATAAGTTGACCGAAAAAACATCTGAACCATATAAAGGAAATAAACTAATTCGGTCTTCATGCCCAAAATATATTAATAAAATCGAGTTTATTTACCATATAGATTTAGTACTGTGGATTTTATTGTTTCAGCAATAACTCTGTTAATTAATTCTATATTACATTTGGAATTTTATGTAAAAATTTGAAGTTTTATTGCAAAAAGAAACATTTTCCCCATTTTTTCCTACTCAGTTACAAAAATCGCTAAAATTACCAATCAAATGACTATAATAAGTCTAGTGATGCCTTGGTGGTGTCTCATAAAACATAAACTTGGATTTAAAAGATTTTGGATTAGTCTAAATTTCAACTTAAAATTTATTTGTTATAAACAATACCAACAGTAACTTTTTATCATTCTTTTCGAATCGACTCTGGAAGAGTTTGATCCTATGATCTTTGACATTTGTTTAAGCAAGAATCCATTTTTTTCACCCACCAATAGCATCGCAGAGTTATGGACCGGGATAAGAAAGGGTCCACAAGTTATGCAAGAAAACCAATATATCTGCTTCTTCTCTACTGCATTCATGTCTGCACTAAACTTCTTTTCATTTTAAAACCCAAATCCAGATTCTGCCTCCTTCCTATAGATTTTCATTATTATAATCACATTTATACTGTTTAAGTGAATCTACAGGTACACTGAAGATATCACACTTGTTAAACCCACAAACCACTTGTGAAGTTTCCTGGAAGCTACACTTTTGATGCTTTGGGATATTATAAAAACGTGTACATGGTTTTTATCTGCTGTTAAAGTTACTAATCCACACCTATAAATAACTGCAAGCAATTGTTAACATTCTCCAACATCAGAATCCAAGCATATAAATTACAAAAAGAGCATACATTTCAAGAAAACCTTGCTTGTGTGTGTTCATGGCTGGTCTAAGTAACTCAAGTAACAGTGCGCAAAGTGATGGTCAAGCCGGTATACCATCTGCCTACAGAGGAGTCCGGAAGAGAAAATGGGGCAAATGGGTGTCTGAAATCCGCGAACCGGGGACCAAGAACCGTATCTGGCTAGGCAGTTTCGAGACTCCTGAAATGGCTGCAACTGCCTATGACGTTGCAGCATTCCATTTCAGGGGACGAGCGGCTCGTCTCAACTTCCCTGAGCTCGCCAGCAGCCTGCCACGTCCTGCAGACTCTAGCTCAGACAGCGTTCGCATGGCAGCTCATGAGGCAGCACTCCGCCTTAGAACAGAGCCAGTAGAGCCAGCCATGCAAGTGGACACCTCAAGCTCCTCCAACGTAGCTCCAACGATGGTCACACTCTCTCCCAGAGAAATTCAAGCGATCAACGAGTCGACTTTGGGATCTCCTACCACGTTGATGCATTCATCATATGATGACCCAGTGGAGTTTGACAATGATGTGGGGATGAATGAATGGGATGCATACCAGACTGACTCTCTTTGGGACCCCTAATCCCAAACTCATGGAGAGAGAGTTAGTTTCCAGCTTAGTATGCTTATTTATTAGGGGTTTACTTTCCAGAGTCTAGCACAAGGGTTGTTGACTCTGACGTTATAATAAAGAATAAAGTTTGTCTGAGTTTTGGAGGGAAGGGAAGTTGCATCTTCTAAAGGAACAGATGAGCTTGATGGGTCCCAGAAATGGACCTGTTTATAGTATTATTCTTCAAATTATTTGTCACTAGTAGAGAGACACATAGTTTCTATTTCATAAGCTGTGGTTAGGAGAGAAATTGTGAGGTGTGACTTATCTTTTATTTTTTCCTATTGTTTGTTACCTCATCTTCTTATGTAATTCCATTTGAAAACTATAAGATTTTATTTCTCTTCTAACAAGACTTTTGCCTTCTCTTGACTTTCTTTCCTAAACGAACCATTGACTGATCTTAAGATAAATCAACATTTCATACAGTAATATTCTTTGCAAGTTGACCGAGTTCAATGTAGTTCTTCCAATAATTCTGGAATCAAAACCAGTATATGCTATAAATGCAAGAAGCTATTGCAAACAAGAAAACAGAATATACTTTTAAGAGCTCTTTAAGCAACTTACTTGATGTCGTCGAGAGAAGCAAATAAGATATCTGAATCTGCAGTCAGGTTTGTAGGGATGACGATGGCAAGAGACAGGTCGTGTAAGCACACTCTTCTCTACCCAAACTTTGCTGATACTACACTGAACTGACTGTTATGGAAGGGACTGTATCGAGCCAGCAATCAAACCTGGAGAAACAGTTTTGGCAACATGAGGTACACAAGGTAATTTGGTTTGTGTGGAAGCATTTGAATCTGCAAGGTAATGCATATATAACTATCTTCTGCATTTGTGTCTAGGCTGCTATCAATGGAGTTACCTGGCGGCTGCAGAAATTTCCTCAACTGGCCAACCAATTCTGATGGAGTTATAAAGCTCTTGCATGATGAAGTGTATCACCTTACAAATATATAAGACAACACATCCCCAGCAAGCCCCACAACTTTCCACTTTGTTGTTATTTGTTAAAGGCTGCGTAGATATACGAGTACCAGACGTCTTCTACTCCAACTAGAAGTCATCATGTGAATACAAATTGTGTTCGGTCTGATTATATGCTGACGTATATAGAATATGTGTTATCAACTGAATAAAGCTATAGTTGATCATCCTCGGATCTTCATCCTACTTCTTGAAGAAGTTCTTCATCCAAACTTTGCTCCTCATTGATGGCATAACCAGCAGCGTCTTTCATCAGCTGATTCAGACCATCCAACAGAGAATATGTATCACATGCTCGAGGGCTTGATGTGTCTCCCACCGAGAACAGCGAAAACCCAGAACCTGTGTCAATCCAAGCACTCCCAGGAGCCTTTTTCACACCCAAGTCCCTCATAAAAGTCCTCACTTCAGCAAGCTTCCTCCAAGAACCACCAGCTGCATACATATTTGCAATCAACACATAGTATCCCGGATTCTCAGGCTTCATCTCCAGGAGCTTTTCCGCCGCCCATTCACCAATCTCCGTATTCCCGTGGATGTGGCAAGCGTTCAGTAGAGTAGCCCACATGGCACTGGACGGCTCATATGGCATTGTTTGAATTACATCTCTGGCTTCTCCCAGGAGACCTGCTCTGCCATAGAGATCAACCATACATGAAAAATGTTGAAGACAAGGACGTATGCCATACTCACACTGCATCTTCGTAAACAGCGTTTTGCCTTCATGGACTAACTTGGAATGACTGCATGCCGACAGAACTGCAACCATGGTTACATGGTCAGGTTTGATACCGGATATTATCATCTCGTTGAACAGGGCCAACGCAACTCGCCCTTCACCCTGATTTCCGTATCCATCTATCAAGGAAGTGTATGTTACTTCGTCTCTCTCGTTCATCAAATCAGATACTCGCTTTGCGGATACAATTTCTCCTGATTTTGCATAAACATCGACAAGGGAGTTCCACAGCATTGTGTAGTCTTTGAAGCACTTACGCCTCATGATGTAGCAATGAAACTCTTTCCCATGTTGCAGGTTTGCAACACGAGCACAAAGAGGGAGAATGCTTGCAAGTGTAATGGAATTTGGCTGCAGGCCATGAAGCATCATCTCCCTGAGAAGGTAAGAAGCTTCTTCTGATCTGTTCACTTGCGCATAACCGGCAATGATAGAGTTCCACGTACTCAAACTCTTGTCCTTACTCTGATGAAACACTATAAAAGCATGCCTAAGGTCATCACATTTCGAGTACATTGTGATCAACGTGTTTCGAACATTGTCAATCCCATCGTAAGAACTAAGAATTGCAAGCGCGTGAATCTCTTTCCCCAACCGTCTTGCTCCTAAGAGTGAGCAAGCCTTCAAACCAATAATCACTGCCACGTGATCTAACCCCGTGGGGAAACTTCTCATCCTAGAGACCAAACCCAAAGCTCCTGCATAGTTTCCTGTCTGCAAACAACCTCCAGAAACAATATTCCAAGTTATGACACTGACTTCCACACCTGAAACCCACATTTGATCAAAAAGCTCAAAAGCTTCACTCCACATGCCTTCGGACGCATAACAGCTTATCACTGCATTCCATGAAACAGCATCCTTTTCAGACATCCTATCAAACAACCTCCTGGCAATACTCACGTTCCCAAACCTTTTATACATAGAAATCAACGCATTGCAGACATACACACAACCCTTGTGAGAGCTAACCTCAATAGATCCATGAACCACCTTTCCACACGCAAAATCTAGTGTCTCGCCACATGCCTTAAGAACAGAGGGATAAGTGAAAGAATCGGGTCGAACTCCCTTACTCACCATTCTCTTGTAAGCAGTAATAGCCTCCTCGTAAAGTTCGTTCTTGGCATACGAAACGATGAGTACATTCCAAGGCAAGGGATGCAAAATTCCTGAGTTCTCGTTAATTGACCTAGCTTCTCTGTGGAGGTTAAAGGCAGAGTAAAAAGTAACAAGCTTCGGGACTAAAGCAGAGTCATATTCAACACCAGAGGAAACACAGTGAGCGTGAATCTGCAGCCCTGAAGAAAATGAACGAACTTCCACGCAGGCAGATAAAAGGGAAGCTGCGGACTGCAAAATGAGTTCACTTGAAGAAGACTGAAGACGAAGGAGAGAAAATGTTTTGAAGGCTTCATGTAAACGACCGTAGCTGACGTAATGTCCGAGAGATTTGAAAAGACTCTCAACAAGCATTGATAAAATATGACTGTGTCAGTATGTAATAACATCAATAAACTGACCTCCAGGAACATGTCGGGAAGGAAAAGACAGCATGTACCGTATCAGTATGTAGTAACATTATAATCACAACTGATCTGAACACTAGAATGAACAGATTCAATGAAGCTTATAACCCTCTTGAAATCGAATCAGAAGGATTAGGCTTGAGGAAAGTTCACTGAGGCATAGCATCGAACACATTGTGTGCTACACATAACACACACACACTTAAAGATACTGGGATATATACATAGCAAAATATAGAGATAATTATTGAGGATTCTCAGGGAACAAGGAGAAGAAAAATAGAGGTTTGAAAGGGACAAGCAAGCCGCGCGAGAAACGCCGTCGGAGAGGAAAGACTCCTTAGAAAATATTGCTTGTTGGCTACTCAAAGAGAACATTACTGGGTCAATATTTTCAGTCTGAAAGTGATGGGCCTTTCACAAAAGGTCCATGTCGGCCCATAATGCTTCAAAGCCTATATACGGTTAGGGTTCGGTTTACTTCGGCCCACAATGATTATTCGAGACGACGAAACGAGATTTGCTACTTTGGTATAAGAACGATATGTTTGCTACGTGGAAGCTCTCGAAGTTCCCGGCGTTTCAAGGAACGATTACGAGGTGATTGGATTTCGAATTTTTGTGCATATGAATTGAATAATAAGTGTTTTTTTTAAAACTTTGATATAGAATTTGACGGTGGGGAGGAGAGTGTTGCTTGCGTTTCAGACGCTAGGGGTGTATTTGGAGATGTAGGGACTAGTCCTTTGTATACGTTCAGTGTGATGTTCAGTAAATCACCTGTGAAAGAGAAGGAAGATGTTATTGGAGCATTGTCACTAGTGATATACACTTTGCTTTTGATACCACTTATTAAGTATGTTCTTGTTGTTCTATGGGCTAATGATGATGGTGAAGGTATGCCTTTTAACTATTTTGGTCTCTTAATATTGTTGTGTACGGGTTACTTATGAGTGATAATGTTTTAGGTGGGACGTTTGCATTGAATATTTTAGTTTGTTGGTGAATCTGCTGTCTATTTGCTTGACATTCTGTTTATGTAAATTAATTCAATGTTTTTTTTCTGTCTTTTTAGTTTGTGTTTGGTTAAGAAGAGATGGAAGTGAAAGCGAGAGCTACGGGAAAGATCATACTTGCAGGAGAACACGCTGTTGTCCATGGATCCACGGCAGTAGCAGCTGCCATTGATCTCTACACTTACATCACTCTGCGCCTTCCTCTTCAACCAGGTTCCTTTTTTCTTACAGATTCTCTGGCTTTAGTTTCTTTTTTTTTTCTGGTTTGTTAATGCTTCATTACTGAAGTCACAGTGATACCAAACTCTAGATTGATTAGTTGAAAGGATCTTAAGCTTTTTTTTCTTTGGAATGTAGCGTCTTTGTAGTCCATGAAGAGAAGCTGTAGAGAAACTATTTTGACGTGTTTCCTCTTAACACAGAATGCTTGAGACTCATTGAAGAGTTCAAGCAGGTACGTACACATTCTGGAAAAAAAAAAACTAGTTGCAGCTTCAATGGTAAATCACTAACTTAGAATATGTATGTGGTTTTATTTAGTGTGTTTCTAGAATATATTAAGAACTTATTCTAGCATCAAACTGTGACTCAACATCTCCTGATTGCTATATGAGCTTCTTTGTATCTTTTTATCAATGGCTAGCCACTTAACAAACCACTAGAAAACAAGGTTTGTTTAGTTACACATCTCTCTCTTTTAATCTTTTATGTTACTTGGAATCTAAAGATTGATGATGTGTAGTGACTTTTGTAAGAATTGTTTTACAAACTTTATAGTTTTTAATTTCTAAGATTCAATTCAAAAAAAAAAAAAATTCTAAGAATTCCATAATGGATAACACCATTGGACATACATTTATGATAAGAATTCTTAACTATTCCAAAAAAAATAAAAAATAAAAAAATAATAATATTTTCGTGTCAAGGACTCCAATGGTGGGTAACACCATTGGAGTTGCTCTTACAGCAAGGAACTTCTTTAAGCTAAGGCTTTTACATATTCGTAGCAGCATATAAGGTGTTTGTGAAAATGCTTGACCGAGTAGACTGGTGCATATGAGATAGACAATTTTCACCTCATTGATCAACACATGGGTCGAGTTACTTCCAAAGGAATATGCTTTGGTTCCTCTCTGCTCTTCAGGTGTTATTTGATTCTACATGAATATGAATGTTTATGAGATAAGCAATGTTTACCTCCTTACTCAACACATAGGCTTTGGTTCCTCTCTGCTTTAGCTTCAGGTGTTGTTTGATTCGATGAAATGGGCCCGTTGACTAAAACCGATGACCCAGTTACGACCGGAAGAAAGAAAAACCAAAGCTGTTAGAGTTGACAAAAAAGACATTGAGTGGCACGCACGTTCCACTTTTCTATCACAACAAAGGATAAGAGTTTTTTTTGATCGCCGACCATATCTCCAGAGTAGTAGAGAAAGTAGATAAACTCAAGCTTCTTGCATTTTATCAGGACCTTATTGAATGGTCCTTTTAGTTTTGTAATGGGATGTATTTGCGCCACCGCTCGTAATCCAACAGCCGCCGTAGCCAACAACGACCTCTTAGACTCCAGCAAATCCAATCTCCATCTCATCTCTCATCCTCCATCTTCCTCTTCTTCTTTATCCAAAAGAGAAGGCTCTTTCACACGTCCCAGCTCTGCAGCTTCCATCACCATCGTGACCAATGGTTACCAAATGGCGCGTCGTCCCTCCACCTCATCTGATCGAAACGGTAACAAGAAGATGGTTATCGTTGGAGCTCCGAGCAGGAACCACTCCAGAAGAGTCACGTCTATGTCAACGGTGGTTCAGCCTACGCAGCAGCCAGGGCGTTTGAACGGAAATACTCCAGAATGGCCATCTTGGCTAGCTTCTGTTGCTGGAGAAGCCATCAAGGGATGGGTTCCTCGCTATGCAGACTCCTATGAGAAGTTAGACAAAGTTAGTTGATCTTTTTGCTCTTTGGATCTCTCTTTGTGACGGATACGTGGCAACACGTGACTAGTTCGGACCACTTTTATAGGGTCAGGATACCTCTGTATAATTCAAAAAAATTAAATGGCAACTTATGTTATGTGTATTGTTATTAGATTGGACAGGGGACTTACAGCAGCGTGTACAAAGCTAGAGACCTGGAAACGGGAAAGGTTGTAGCGATGAAGAAGGTTCGGTTTGTGAATATGGATCCAGAGAGTGTTAAGTTTATGGCCAGGGAGATTCTCATTCTCCGTAAGCTTGATCACCCTAATGTCATGAAGCTTGAAGGTCTAGTCACCTCTAGACTCTCAGGTAGTCTCTACCTTGTTTTTGAGTACATGGAACATGACCTCGCAGGTCTAGCCGCTACTCCTGGAATCAAATTCTCTGAAACTCAGGTAGGTATCTACATCTTTTGTTTTCCTATAGGCATAAAACACATTCAAGTGAGATGAGAGTCTTGCATTGTTTTACAGATCAAGTGCTACATGCAACAACTCTTCTGTGGTCTTGAACATTGTCACAGACGAGGCATTCTCCACCGTGACATCAAGGGATCAAACCTTTTGATTAACAACGAAGGTGTTCTGAAGATTGGTGATTTCGGTTTGGCGAATTTTTACAAAGGTGATGGAGACTTGCAGCTGACTAGTCGCGTTGTAACGTTATGGTACAGAGCGCCTGAGCTCTTACTCGGTGCTACTGAGTATGGACCAGCCATAGACCTCTGGAGTGCAGGCTGTATTCTCACTGAGCTCTTCGCAGGAAAACCTATTATGCCAGGACGCACAGAAGTAATGAAACTCTCAAGTAACTTTATGTAGTTTCTTGTCTCACACGGTTGGTGAGATAGTTAACTATTTTTTTGTGTTATCAGGTGGAGCAGATGCATAAGATCTTTAAGCTATGTGGTTCACCTTCGGAAGATTATTGGAGAAGATCAACTCTGCCACTTGCAACAAGCTTTAAACCTAGTCAGCCTTACAAGCCTGTTCTTGCGGAAACCTTTAGTCACTTCCCTGCTTCTGCTCTGACACTCATCAGTAAGCTACTGGCAATAGAACCTGAGAAACGTGGATCAGCTGCTTCTGCCTTGAGGAGCGAAGTAATATATTGATACTAACCCGAAACTCATGTTACAATCTTTCTCATGGTCATTGATGAACCTTCTTCTCTGCAGTTCTTCACCACGGAGCCACTCCCTGCTACTCCATCAGACTTGCCTAGATACCAACCAAGCAAGGAACTTGATGCTAAGCTTCGCAACGAAGAAGCAAGAAAGTAAGGCATCTTCATTTCACTATTCGTTCTCTCTTGTGGGGCTTTTCTTATTATAATTTTGTTTGCAGACAAAGGGCAGAGGATAAGAAGAGAAGAAGGGGAGAGACTGTGACAAAAGGACAACCAAAAGATCTTAAAACTGTTCAAACACCTGAGTTAATGGCTGCAGGGCAGTCCAAGGTCACATGCATAAGCCATAAGTTTAAAACAGACGAGGAAGGTGGAACCGGGTTTAGGATTGAACCACTTAGAAGAGGGAACCAGCAGAATCAGGCTTCTTCAATGGTTCACCCAAGTGTTGCTGATACAGAATGGAACATAGGAGGAAGCGTCAAAAGGCAAACTAATGCAGAGCTGAAGATATTGCAAATAGGAAACTTGTCTGGTGATTCATGTAGGAGAGGTTCCAACAGAGATTACTCAACCGTAAGCTTCCTCAATTTTTTTCCTTTCTAGCTACTTTAACCTTTTGGTATGTGACTGTTGAGTTGGTTTTGTGCTGTGGTCAGGGAAACGCACCAAGGAAAAACAAAATCCATTACTCAGGACCGTTGATGCCTCCTGGTGGGAATCTTGAAGAAATGCTCAAAGAGCATGAGAAGCAGATCCAAGAAGCTGTCCGGAAAGCCCGTGTCGAAAAGTATGGATAAAAGAAGAACAAAGCATTAGCAGCAGCAGCGTTACACGGAAAGAAATGAGCGGTAGCTTAAAGAGACAGAGAGAGATAAATGAAGAAGAAAGTTAAACAACTATAGCACATGCTTTGATGGTTTCATCAAGCCATAGAAACTCATAAGCGTTTTTGTTCGTGCTCCTTACGTGCGTGAAGCCAGGGATTGATGCAATGTATAGTCAAATTTGTTTCTTAGGCCAACAAGATTGACCACACTATAATGTCAAGCTTCTTTTTGTACATTCACACAAGGTCTCTATTGAGTAGAGAGACAAGCAAACATGTGTATGCAACCCGACACAAAACAACTCCAAACAGTATTATTTCCGAGTAACAACCATTCCACATATTAGTCTAAGTTAAGTTTCATAGTGCAGTGAAAGAGGCAAAACGATTTGACACAAGTTTTTTTAATATGAACGAAACTCAAAAACGTTACAAGAAAAAACTACAAAGTTTCTTAACCTTTTACTGAATAAAAGGATGGTCTCTAATTGAGACTAGCTAGTTCCTGAATGTTGATAGGAAACGCGACAGTGCTGTCACCAGCAAACGCTTTCTTGGCCATAATGAGATTAACTTTCTCCGTGGGATGAAAAGCGTCCCAAAACAGATACTCATCTCTATTAGGACAAGGAGTTTCAAACGGAAGACAAGTGATCTGTCCTCTGTTCCGTCCTATCCCACAACATCCCTTGTCTAAAGTAGTAATCCCTACAAAAAAAAAACAACACACCATATTATTTTTAGCAATCGAGATTAAGAATGTTGATTAAACATTTGTTAATTACCATAAACGGCTGGATTAGTAGTGATGTCTTGGACCATATTAGCGGTATCGAGGTAAATGAATTTAGCATTAGGAAGATTCTGGTTGAGATTAGTGATCATTGTCTTGACGTTTGTGTTGAAAGGAAGAAGAAGTTGGTTAACTTCTTCCGAGCATTTACCGTCGGTTCCTTGAGCTAGAATACTAGGAATGCATCCCATTCTTCCAAGTCCAGACACTATAAATTTTCTAGCACCAAGATTATACAATCTCTGCATTACCAAAGAGAATCAAGAAAACATTTATGATTACATTTTAGCTTCTTGGTTAATTAGTACTCATATTAAATGTTTTTGTATGTATTACGGTGAGTTGATTGGTGTATTGCTGAACCAAGAGATCGCCGAACTGTTGGGCGTTGTATTGGCTACGGGTAGGGAAGTTGGGCATTAAGTAATTGTTGAGATAGTCGTTGCTTCCCATTCCAATGAAGAACAAGCTTCGAGCCACCGAGTCTGCAATGGTCACTGCACCACCGGACTTGCTAGCCACCTGATCTAACGTTGTCTCAAAGTTATGGATCTGCTGGTCGAATGGTATTCGCCCCATCTGACCATCGGAACATAAATTCATGAGTTTTTCAATCTTTATTAAGAATTATGCTCGTGTGACCACTCTTTTAGCGCTTTGAAAGCATTTGATTTAATTTTAAAAATTTTCATTTAATGAGGTATGAAAATAAATCATTACTTTCAAAATCTCTGTTATCATTTCACCAAATGATTCATATATAAATTGACATTTGGTGTAGACAAGTACTTTAAAAAATAAATACAAGGTACAAGATATTTAAGTTATTCAAGAAACACAAACGAATAAATTTGAGGTAATATATTGGTTTTCAGAAGTTTTTTTTGGTTCAACGATTTTCAAAAGTACATACTAGAAAACTATATATATTTGAAAAACATGTAAGTATATTTTGTTTACTTGTTCTAAAATTCTAAAATGCATAATAATTTTTTTTTAAGAATCGGTTTGTACTATTACTAAATAAATAGTTATTAGATAAGTACATATTTACTTTCACTTCTTAAATCATAAAGTAAAAGTTGCATGCAACTTACAAAGTTTCCTCCGGTGTCAGGAAGAATCCCCGCTGCTGCGGATGCGTAGTTGACACCACGTAGCACTTGATCTCCGGTAGCTTCCGAGTAAGCCGGAATCAGTGGCAGCCCCAATAGTTGAGCTATAAGATAAGTGCATGCATGCATCAAATTACTTAATTAATAAGCATAAAGCCTTATTTATTTTGAAACCTTTTATTTGGACCCTTTTCCAAATTAGGAGGAAAATAGTACATAATTTCAAGGAGAAAAGAAACAAAATGTAAACCAGCGCACATATACATTATAATATTATATACGCAGACATGCAGAAAAACGTACCAATACCATCGACCATGGTCAAGCCATTACTGAACCTCCCGGTCGGACCGCCATTGAAATCGATACCATAAGGGAAATAATTGGCTTTAGCAAAGGAAGGGATGTTATTGTTGTTACCATTGTCTATTAGAGAGTCACCAAACACAAACAATGCCGGCACAATGGTATCACTGCCGTCTTGTTCGACCAGTGGAGGAGCAGAAACAGGGTCTTCGACCACAACAAGTTGGCCGGATACGCCATGCAGGAGTTGGAGAACCAACACCAGGAGAGCTGAGGACATGCAAATTCGTCGGAAGTGGAAAGCCATATTGTGAAGTTGTTTGAGCTTGAAAGTTAATATTGTAGGGTTGTTTCTTCAGTGAGGAAAATAGATTTTGAGAGATTTATAGAGGGGGGAGAGGGGGGGGGGGTTTGGTGAACAGCAGTAAATGTGTGTATCCGTCATCTACCATACAGTAATAACAGCCACTCACGATAATCACAATATGTTAGTTATGGACCTATGGTATACATGTATATATGTATTGTTTCTTCACGCATGTCTACAAAATCATTTTAGATTTTATGCTATTTTTGAAACACTTTATTTGTTTTTGAAACACCTTTTAGATTATTTGTATATTTAAGAATTTAAGAATACATATTTAACTAAACCCTGGAATGCATTTTAAACGATTAAAAATGATATATGTATGAAGAAATAATACATGTATAATATTATAAAATGTATTGTTTCTTCATGCATGTCTATAAACGCATGAAGAAATCGATGAAAAACAAAAAGAAACAAATAAAAAGGGGAAAAATTTAGCAGAAAAAAAAACAAGAGGAAAGTTTTTTTGTTTTTTTTTCGAGAAAGAGAATAGGAAAGTTACATTTAAATCGTCGATATTCTCAACGACGTTTACCCTTTCAAGGTCAGACAATCGTGACGACCAATTATGTCAAAGAAGAGATCAGAAAAAGCATTAAATAAATCTCTTCTATTTCAAAATGGTGGACTGGTAATTGTAGGGTTTAGCATCTACTATTAACTTTAGGGTTGACTTTTAGCGTTTTGACTTATAAGATTGTATATAAATGGTAGGCCAATCGTATGCTAGACACTTGAAAAGTTTCCGCATTTGATTTGTTTCAGATTTCATGACATTATGAGCACTGAAAAAAGGTCAAATAAATTTCGATTTTTGTTTAATTTTTTTTATTCCCTGGACTATCATTTTTTAAGCTGGACTTTTCTTCATGGACAACAACGTAAATACACTGAAACAAGATAGGCTATGTATCCTCAATACAACCAAATAATAATCCACAAATTCAAACATACATAGAAATGAGAAAGACTTTAGTACACACCAGCACACCACACTTGTAGTTATTGTATTGCTCACGCCAACAAAGTAGAACAACAGAGATTAATTAAAAACACACAGAGATTTTTAACAACGTAGCATGTTACACATGTTTTATTATAATTTTGTGTGATTTAACAACACTAATTATACTTACCAAGATCATTTGAATTCGTAAGACTAGTCTTCAAATACCGTATGATCTAGAACTGAAATATGTCACTTGGCATGGTTAGCGGATAAGAATAGTTAGTGTCCACATTTGCGAAGTTAGCATCTAATACGCTATTGTTGTTCTCCTCTATCTGCATTAATTCACCAACACAGCAACAAAACAAAACATTAGGGTAAAATTAAACAGTCTAAATATTGTCGGAACAGTGTTTTTTTTTTTTTTTTGAAAAAGGGCTTCGGAACAGTGTTACTAAGTACATTTAGGCTTTGATTGGTAATTTCTGAAGTAAAAAGGTGAAATATTGTTACGCTTGTTAAATGTGGAATAACATGCATTGAGTATATGTTTTTCTCTGTTTAAACACTAACATGACTAATTGTGAGAAAAGTATATTTTCACTTGATAAGCAACTTTTAGAATAATTAAAAACTATAAAATTTTCACCACTATTATTTACGCTATAAGCAGTAACCAGTCACACTCTTAGATATACTTCCTCGACATATCAATTTCATAAAATGCTTGCGCCAAATTTTAGCCAAGAAAAAAATCATAAGATATATTGTAAGATAAGAATGTTATAGTCATTTTGTTTTACCTTTTCGAGGAGGTACTTATTGGCATCTTTGAGGACCCCTTCCTTCATAATACCAAAAAGAAAACCGTTATTCAGTAATGTTAAATTTTGTATTCATTTTAATAAACGAAAACTCTGGCTCATATTAATTGTTATAAATCTAAATCTAAATCTAATAATATAATGATGTTTATGTGCTTACCGTGTTCCTTAAGGACTGAATTTCTTGAAGCATAATCTCCATCTACAAATTTTACATATACGTTTTGATTTTTAGAGATAGAAACACATAAACTTTTATAGTCATCAGTATTTTACTTTGACTTCCCAACCTATGCATGAATATATATATGAACGCATGTAGTATACCTTAGCAGAGCGAATGTGGGAAATCCAATACTCAAGATGCTTCTCAAGCAAAAGAAGTTCTTGAAGATTCATCGTCCCATCTCCTCCCCCAAACATATACCTGAAAATCCATTTTATTTATTTACATGTGCATGATTTCACAACCCCTTATAAACAACTTAGTAAGCAAATAGCTAGTGTGTGTGGATATACCTTATTCCTTTCTGAAGCATATCAATCTCTTGCTTAAGCTCATTGATCTGACCCTTTGGATCCTAGAAAATCAATTTCCGTTTCAATGTTTTATATTAAACAGAATTGAAACTTTTAAGTAGCTGTTGAGTTTCATTTGGTGACACTAAAATGTCCGTACATAAGATACATATAAGCATCAACTAAATAATTAAATTATGCAGAGCGATCGGTAACATTAGTTTATAGTACTAGGGTAACCTTTTTAAAGTGCTCAGGATAACTTTATCAAAAGGTTGCTGACTTATAAACCAATAATCCTAACTTTGTTCGAAATACAAAAGTGATGAAACTAAAAATACAAATATTTAAAATCGTAATATGGGTGTTATTGTCTCGAGCATCTTTTACTTTACCCGTAAGTCTAAGTAACTAATTTGACCTGTGTTTTTTTACTATTTGGACTTGAGTGCAACGTTCCACAAATTAAAAGAGAGGGCTAGGTGCATTGAATGTAGTATGCTTCAGTAACTATTGTAATTTCATGTAGAATCGGAATCAGGTGCCTTACCTAACTTACTGAGTATTTTAATTTCAAATCAATCGAGAAAACGTCCAAAAGAGTTTCGATTTGCATGTCAACACGTGTAACCAATTTGCATAAAAAAATATTACTAACATTTTACGGAAAAGCAAAAATATAAGGAATTGATTAACATGTCCAAATATATGCTACACTTTGAGCATCGACTAGTTTTAATCAGCCCCTGGCTATCATTAAATGACACATTCAACAGTCAATCTAAGAAGTCAAAGAAAAAAATTGGATACAGAAATTAAAAAAAGATTGTGAAAATAGACGTACAAGATTTGGAGGTTGAAGTTGTTCTTGAGCAGTAAAAGTAGCAGAAGAAGAACCACGACCACCACCGGTATGCTTCATGTACTTATCAATCATTCCTTCCATTGTTCTAATTATTAATACCATTCGTAAAGCCACTCTTTAATCACATATAGGCACAAGTATAAATAATGCATGCTATGAGAATTGAGAAATAAATATGATAGTACCCTTTGGTAGCGAGCTCAAATAGCTTGCCCTGGGGAGAGAAAATCATAACGCCGATCTCAGCGTCGCAGAGCACAGAGAGCTCCTTAGCCTTCTTGAGAAGACCGGTTCTCCTCTTGCAAAACGTCACTTGTCTGTGAACCGGGTTTTCGATCTTCTTCAGCTGAATCTTTCCACGAGCCATCTCTATCTAATGATTTAACGTTTGGATTTGAAGTTTGAACGTGGATCAACCTCCCACTAGTTTGAACTAGCTTCGAGGTTTCCCACTTACTATTTTGGTTTCTCTTTTCTTGGGAGAAAACTGTGAAGTTATGACCAAACTCATGCCACCTTCTTCTCTTTATATATAATCTTCATTATCAGATTCTCCCACTCACTTCTCTGCTTCTTAAAAGCACATTTTCTCCACACAAGCCTCCTTTTCTCTTCTATATAACATAATACGCGCATGTGCTTTTTTATACGTTATAGGTTAAGTATTCATTCAGCGCTCATACAAAGTATGCAGCTTTATATACAAAAGGCCACTAAAGCAGTGTTTGTAATTTGGGCTTTTTGCAGAATTGACCTGAAACTTGAAGTCAACCACAAAACTAACCTCCCTTTTTTTTGGAACTTTATTTTGCCCAATTCACCCCACAAGTTCATATAATTCACGAAAATGCCATCAAATTTTTTTTTTTTTTGGTTTCGAAAATAACATATTTACTCTCTCACCCTCATCATCTTCAAGTAATTACAAGATTG